TTCCCTGCAGGCCAGCCCTGTTCTTCCCCTCTGCCCACCCTGGGGAATAGGGAAGGTGGGAGAGGAGAGGGGGGACCCTGGAGGACTGGAAGGATCCAACCTAAAAAGGTTGCCCTATGGGGCCCTGCACTATGACCCTCAGGCCTGGGGACTATCTGTGCCAGCCTTTCAGGCCCGTGCCCTCCCCCTGGAGCCCCTAGCACCAAGGCACAGATTGTTAAGGCAGATCCCCCCTACCCCTTACCCCACTTGAGCCCCTGACACCACAGGTGCCCTGGAGCCTGTGTGTGACTCAGCCTCTGTTAGCTGGGTGGGTGTCATCAGCCCTGCTTCCCAGGCCAGAACCTGAGGATGGGCCCAGGGTGCTGTGGAGATCAACTTCAAAAGAGCTAACCCCCTTCCCACACCCCAGCGACCCACATTCCCTCTGTGAAATCTACCTCAGAGTTGTACCCTCAGAAGGACGGGTAAGCAGGAGACCAGGGGTCCCTGGGGCTGAGGTGGGGAGCTTCCTATGGCAAGAGCCTGCCACCCATGATGAATCCAACTCCCCCACTGCCAGTCTTCCTAGGTCTCAGCCCCAGGCAGGTGGCAGTGGATGCTCTTGTCAGTGCATGTACCATTCTGATCCAACTCTTCCAGGCCCCCCACCTCCTCACACCCTTCCCCTCCTCAGTGCAGAGGAGTGAAGGGGTGTGTCAGGTGGGGAAGGGGCCAAGGACTCCAGAGACGCATGGTATTGTACCTTGAGTCTTTCCCCCAGGGAGGGGAAATGGAGGAGGGAGACTGGAAAGGGGAGGTAGGGGCCCCTGAGTTCTCTGAACAAGTTGAAAGTCCAAATAAAACTTACCTGTTCCATCTGCGCTAGGTCTGTGCCCTCCATGGCTGGGGTGGGGAGAGTTCTCAGTAGCAGGAGGTCTTGGAAACTGTCTGAAGGACGCACCACCATGGGAGGTTGGGCATTGGGTAGGTAGGGCATGCTTGGGGCACCCATGTTCCAAGATGATCCTGGAAACATGGGCATGCAAGTGGCTACAGATTACTTGTAATGTGGAATTTATTTAGGACAAATACTGAGCAGCAGAGGGTGTCTTCATGACAAAGCAGCCACCCCAGCCCTGAACGGGTGTCAGGGACTCTTGAATTTTCCCTCCCTGCAGGTCTGGCAGGTAGAGGTTCTGAAGCTCTGAGTGTTCATTTATCAGTAGCAGCTGTTTCTTCATCAGATGATTTCTGTATGCCATGAACCAGGCAGGGGCCTCAAAGAGGAAGAACATCAGTGTTCCATGCCCTTATGGGTCAGAGCAGGGGGTGGGGTGCTGGGTTTCAGGCTCAGCCGCTGCCTCAGAAGTCTCTGGCCCAGGAGGTCAGAGCCAGGTCATGAACCCGTGACCCTTGCCCTAGCCAGGGCTGACCTCTTTCTGCAGAAAGGGCCTGATGTACTTATGCATCAACTCTGGAAGCCTTTCATTTCCACGTGACCCTTTTAGCTGAGGATTCACTTAAAAACAAAAGGCAAGGAGCAATTGCTCATTGAAGGTTGGAGGTTCAGCCCTAGACCCAGGGAGCAATTGCTCATTGAAGGTTGGAGGTTCAGCCCTAGACCCAGGGAGAACCTCCCTATTCAGTGCCAGCGTCCAGATCCCCGTGAGGAGACTTCCCAGCCTCCCTTGCAGTGAACAAGTACAGCTGGCCTCTAAAAGTTCATCTAGCCTCGGTTCCATCTGCAACCAAGTGCTGATTGCCAGGAAGGGTGAAAAAGTGACCCCTATGGGACATGGTTTTACAAGCCACGAGAAAGAAGGTTTTGGAACCTCTGGCACATGAGTGCCCAGTGTCTCCTGGTCCTCCCCCACCTCAGACAACTCCCATGGAGGAAGGCAGCACCCAGGTTTGGGGTCTGAGTCCCGTTTGGGTCTCTGGAAGCACTTGCTAGAAGGACATGAGTGAATTAGGGGTGATACAGCGACATTAGGCAAAGAGAAATCGTAGCCATCGAGAAAGGGGGCAAAGAATGACCTGGGAATGAACTGGAGGCAGGTGGCATGACCCAGCTAACCATTCTGGTCCTTGAGCATGTCTGAAAGTAGGAAGCAACCCAGAGTATCCCGCAAGCTGGACATTCCCCCTGTCATCAGTGAGAGGGGAGCATGGGGACATAGGGTACAGATTCTGGCAGCTTGTCTCCTTGATTTCTGGAGACCTGGGAAAGGGCTCAGGTGCAGGGTGGAAAGTTGCTGGGGGCTGGGAAGGAAGTCAGGGATGAGAGGAAAAACTAGTATGCCCATAGCCTAGGACCTCCAGACTAAGGGCCTTTCATTTAATGCCCCCACCCACCACCAAAGGAGAGTACATCGTGGGTGGGGAGCTGGAAGAGGGGCTGAGGAGCCCTGCCAACACATCCCTCTCTTCTCAAGCAAGGCCATGAGCAACTATAAGGACACTGGCTCCTTATTTCTCTGTAGGAGTAATATGAGTGGCACTAGGACCTGTAGGAGTAACATGGGGGCAAAGATCTAGATCTGTAGGCTCCTGGAAAGGTATGGAGGGTGGGTGGGATGACTTTCACAGGAGCAAAGTGGAGAGAAGACCCCTGTTGAGGGAAGAGAAGATACACCCAGTGTGGGGAGACCTGCTTGCTCCCACCAGCACAGACTCAGAGCCAGCCATGGCGCGGTTGGGGTGTGGTGGGGAAGACTTCACAGAGACCGAGCTGTACATCGTTTGTCTCCAAGTGCCCCATGAACAGAACATTCTCTCCAGCTCCAGCCCCTCTGCCCTCAGTCTCTCCTTCAAACACCAGCTGCCCCTCAGGCCTCCCTGTCTCATCTTTGGGGACCCTGCAGCCCTGCCTGTCTTCCCCCAGGATTTTCTCAGGCAGAGCTACAATGGAGACCCCAGCCCTGCTGCTGGTCTCCATGCAGGCTTTGTTGGGCAATCAGCTGAGAAGAGCAACAGCTCTTTTCAGAAGCTGGTTGTGTGTGTGTGTGTGCGTGTGTGTGTGTGAGGGCAGAAGCTTATTGCTAACAAAAGGGAGGGGGGTGTGGGTGAGTCAGCGTGTTAATGAGAAACACCTCACCCCGCTGATTAGGACTAATGAGGAACGGAGGGGGTGGGGGTTTCGCTCAGTGACATCTCTATAGAGTAGGGGGGGAGCGGAACAGCTCCCCCAATCCCATTTCTCCCTCAGCAAGGACAAGAACCGAGCAACTTTGGTTACCACAGGAAAAACTGAGGTCAGACCCAAGAATGAAACATCAAGGGCCAGGGGATCCTAACTGAGAAGGAGTGAGACAAGATGTCTGGGGGCACAAGCCAGATAACCTAGGAAGGGCATGTGAGATCCCCTAGCACCCCCTTTTCCCTGCCCTTCCCTAGATTTCTCTCCGTTGACTCCAGAGAAATTCTTGGCACTCAGAGCTGTGCCCCCTGGTTGCCCCAAGTGCCTCTTTAGATTTAAACGACATCTATAGAGGGCAGATAGCCATGAAGGTGATGTTGAGAAAGCTCCAGTCCGTGCCCCTCCCGTGGGCAGCCTGGGAGGGAAGTCTATGGTTTGGGGCATTGACTATATAGATGTTAGGGAAGCCTGGCAGGGCTAAAGGCAGGAGGGGACCGGGATAGGGGAGGACCTGGGCATCAGCTGGAGGCCCTCTCGGTCCTCTTGGTGGCTGCCCCTGTCCTTGTGGCAGAAGCAGAAGTCCCTGAGAACCGGGAGCTTCACCCTCTCCGTGGCAACTCAGCCAAGGGCAAGGGCACCAGCCGCACCTTGAAGATGTTCCAGTCCACTGTATGAGTGTGGGTATGGGGGGAGGGAGAGGAGGGGCTGGAAGGGGGACAGGATGGGTGTCGGCCAGCACCTCCAACACCTCCTAATTTGCATTACCACTGACACCCTTCTTGACCAAGTAAATGGAGCCAGAAATAACAAGGGGGGGCAGGTGGTTCCCTGGGGGGGCCTTTTGAAGCTCTCTTTCCTTGCCTCCAACCTCCCACGGTGCTGCGGGCAGTCTCGCAGCCCCATGGCTGGCTCTGGGTTGGATGGGGGTGGGGAGGGGGCCGGGGGACACACTTTCCTCCTTAGATTTGGCAGACACCCCATCCCGGCCTCCCACTTCCCTAGGTCCCAGACACACCAGCCTTACCCTTTTCTTTTCTCAGAGCCTACTCCACACACACTTCCCTCCTCTGGGAACCCCATCCCTGGGGCCCCTCTCATGGCTCTGATGACCCAGTGTCAGATTGGGCATTTCCCAGAGCAGGGCCCTAACTGCCCCCACCAATCTGGGAGCTGCTCGAGGGAACATTCTGCATGAGAAACAACAGCAGGGGAGCTTGTGAGTAGATTGGAGACTTGGCAAGAGGTGAACCAGGGGCCAGTGTAAGACCTTCACCCTAGGGCTGTGGGGTAGGAGGGAGAGAGGTCCTTGGAGAAAAGAACCAGGACTGTTCTATTTGGACGTTTTTATCCCCTACCCCAGTGATTACCACACAGAAGCCCCCACAGACATATTTGGTGTTCAATTTATGTGCACTGAATTTACTTTTGTCCTAAAGAGGGTGGGGTATGATGATGCTGCAGCCGTGGCTTGGAGGCAGGAGATGGCGGACATGATGAGTCCTGGGAGAGTGAGATGGTGAGGGCAGAGGCAAAGCAGAAGGGCCTGGCAGGGAAACCAGGTCGCGAGAGACAGCCAGAGGGCTGTGAACACACTGTAGGAAGGAGCAAAGGATGAACTGAGAACTTTCCCCACTTCCCCCTCCAAAGATGCTATTTTGGAGAGAGAGAATATATGCAGTGCAGTGTGCAAGGTGAGGGAAGCATGCCACTTCCACAGGGGTCAGCTGGATCACCTGCTGCCTACACGCTGCTAGGCCAACCACGTCCACTGGTCCTGGAACCTCTGCCACCACAACTCTTCCCTTCCCATTGGGAAAATCTTGCTCTCTTGAGCCCAAGAGGAGAAAGAAGGAGCTAGGAGATTTGGCACCCCCTTGAGGGCCCCCTGGGGCTTCAGACCTAGGGAGAAGCTTCTATTTCCATCACTTCTTTAGAATGAAAACGTGGAGTGTACTGTGGGGCATGGGGTATGGCAGACACCACGCACAGCTCAGCGGGACTGAGCACTTCTTGCCCCCAACTCCATCCCTAGGCACTCTGCATGGATTCTCCTTTCCCATTAAACTTCAGAGCATATTTGCTGTTAAAAGAGGGGAGGAGAGGGCAGAAAGCGCTTCCAGGGCTAGCTGGTCAGCCCACAGGAGGTCCCACTGCTCTCGGGGTGGGAGAGGGAGCCGATCTTGCCTCTGTGGGCCAAGGAGGCTGGACAGAGGTCGATATAAAGTAAAGCTCTTGCTTGGCATGAAGGGAAATTCCTGTGCCCCAGCCGAACCCTTCTGAGGGGCCCTGAGTCATTTTGGGACAAAGGCTCCAATGCCCTGTGGGTTTCTGTGGTGGCTGGGGGCAGGGGAGAACAGGACGTGTAGATAGAGTGCTGGGGATGAGTGGAGACTTTTGTTTTCGTTTTTGGAGAAGGAGCAGGTTGGCTGAGATGGAAAGAAGGCTCAACTTCTAGCCAATGACCTGGTGCTGGACATGGCCGCAGTAGAAGAAACATACGGTTAGACTTTAGGGAGACACTGGGGCCCCTTTCTGAGCCGAACCAAGGCATCCCGCTCCCCAGACGTTTCTCACTCTGCTCATCCCTCCCTCTAAGGCTGGGGAGTTGGAGCTGGCCCTGGGGCAGTGCAGGCCAGAGGCAGAGGGATGAGCAGAGTGAGCCATCATAGGTGGCGGTTGGTCTGAAGGCTCTAGAGAGGAAGGAGAGTTCAGGTCTCAGAAGACGTGTCCCCAAGTCAGACC